ATATTATATACGTTAAATAAAAATAAAAAATAATTATATGTTTATATAATTGATTCTTTTTAATATAATTGATAAAATTTAATAAGTTAGTTAATATTAAATATATTTATTTATTAAAATTTAAAATTGTTTTTAATTTAAAATTAAATGTATACTGAATGCAAATAATTGAGAAATAGTAAAAAATTTAGAAGTTGTAATGACATTTATAAAATGAAACAATGACATTTATCAAACGTAAAACCCATTACAACAACAAAAATCAATAGTGATTGAAACTAAATGTATAACCAATATTTGAACATGACTTCCTATCTCTATTCTAATCCTACTAGACTTGGGCTGACCCTTGGAATTTCTCTTCAGTTTCGAATTTGGCCACAAAGTTGGACCAGTGTAAGTTGGCCAATAATCTTCGTGTTTAAGCTCTCTAAACTGTCATTCGTATACTTTTGAAACTTGTTGTAAGGTATAGATGAGAGATATGTAGCTTTCAAAATTGTGGTGTGCATGTGAGCATGAAGCAAGTACATGCGAGCAAGAGATATGAACTTTCTGGAACTTGCCACATTCACACCACATCTCATCTAGCCTTAATGTAAATCTCCCAACGGGTCGAACTTCTCCGGGATGTTGTGTTTCTTCCACTAAAAATATAGTGCTTGTTCTATCAAAGGTGATGTCTCTATGAGTGTTTGCCTTTGATTATGCATCTTGAATAGTTTTAGTTGCAATCTCTAAGTAAACATATCCAACATTAATCATTGCATCCACCTCTTTGCCTCTCTCAATGAAGAACATCTTGCAACAGGTGTATATCGCCATTACCATGAAACAAATTGGTAGGTTTCTTGTTTTCTTCAAGACTGAATTAATAGACTCTGTTAGGTTTATTGTCATGTGTCTCCAGTATCGTCCATTGTCCCATGCCTGCGTCCATCTTTTTCTTGGGATGTTGTCCAACCATTGTGTTGCTTCAACATTATTATCTTTTGTTATGTTGTAATAGTAAAAGAATCTAGGTTCAGTCATTTCATATGCTGAAAAAAAATTATTAATTAAATTATGAAAACTAAGTAAGAATGTTAAAAAATATTAATGATAATATAAAGTACAGTAAAAAATAAAATTACCGATATTGATAACATCCTTCTTCAGTGCTGCATTTTTGAATTGTCGCATGAAATTATGTGCAATGTGTCTAAAGAGATGGACAAAATTATTTTCTGTTCAATCACTTCCATTTATGGAGTATGCATTTCTACTAGTCTCATGACGATCCAAAATAAGGCACATCTGTCTTATAGTGTCACATATCGCCTTAAGTTTTTGAGGAAAAAGAATCATGCATCGCTTGTTTCACCTTCAACAACAGCAAATGCAATAAGAATTATGTTGTTGCGTCCATTTATTGCGCAATTTCCACCAATAGTGTCCCTTTGTATTTGTTGTATAAAAATATTCCATCCACTTGAACAATTGGTTCGCAAAAGGTAAAATCATCAATGCATGGTTTGAAGTGTTGAGATGATGAAGATGATGGGACATCTTGAAGACTCCTCAAGATTGTGTTAGTTTTGATGATGTATTATATAGGTGTTGCTTAAATCTATGCAAAAGGATATTATATTCATTGTAATAGATATAGGCTTGTGTGTGTGTTTGTTTATGTTTGATGATGATGATGAATGCTTAATTCAAGAAATAATCAAGGTTTTTAAGAAACCAAGAATTTGATTTTTTAGAATTTCTATGTGTAAACATAAAGTAATAGATTATCATGAAAAGGTAATTTACTACCAAATGTTTAAACATAGAAATATGACTTGATTAAAATAAGAATTTTCAAGATAACATTGTTAATCAATTACCATTCAGGGTAATAGATTACCAAGTCTGTTACTAGAAAATGATATTAAAATTTCATGTGTTAATAGATTACCAAGTCTGTTATTGAAAAATGATTTTCAAGTGCTTCTTGAGGTAACAGGTTACCAAAGTTGGTAATAGATTAAAACAGACTCTCTTGCTTGAAATAAGGTTGAAGAATCAAAGTTTTCATCGGTATAATTGATTACCACTTGAGATAATTGATTACCACATAATGAAACTCCTTCTAAGTCTATATATTTGTTAAATTACTCTTTGCACTTTTTTCTTAATCATTTTTAGGCAGAAAATAAAAATAAAAGAATTCATAATTTTTTAATTGTGTGTTACTTTTTGATTTAATAGTAGATATAATTAAATTTCCAAAGTAAATAGTGAATACATATTTTTTAATTGCATTAAAAAAATTGTCTATCCTATAATTATATAATAATTATTATTAAAAAGTACCTTTTTTATTATAAATATAATATATATTAATATATTATTAAAATAATATAGATATAAACTATAATAATATATAATATATGTTAAATTTTATTCAAATTCAACTATAAAATTGTGTATAATTATAAGTTTAATAAATTTATACTTTTATATATATATATATATATATATATATTTATTTATTTATAATAACACTTTTTATATGTTATTTTATATAATATTTTTTGTAATGTTAGATCATTGATCTTATTTCTCATTAATTTCTTTGTATATTGTGTCTTCTTATTTCTCCTTGTAAGTCTTTCATAAATTTGTTAAATTAGTTTTTGAACTTTGTATCTTAATCATTTTTAGGCAGAAAAGAAAAATAAAATAATCATAATTTTTTAATCATGTATTTACATTTTAAAGTGAAACCATGATTACTTGAGACATTAAGCTTCGGCACAATATACCGAATCGAATAACAAAAGCTTCTAACATTTAATTTCTTGTTGAAGCAATACTCCCATTAGAGTCTGTAAGCCTTTTTTTTTTTTTTTTTTTAATTTATAAAAATTATTTGATGACAACGACCGATATAAAGAGTTTCGGAAACGAAGATTATCCCTCAACCTAACAAGTTATGTAATTTAAAATTACTATAATGATTAGTTGCTATGACATTTTCCTTTGTCTTTGCATATCTGAGCCAGAAAAAGTGGGGGATGGAGAGTATTATACTTTCGTTATGTACGCCGGAGCCATTTTTTAAGGTTCAAGGTTCTTGGTGAACATTCTATGATCACAGTTCATACAAATAAAAAAAATAAGCAATATATATAACAACACAATAAATATTATTGCGGGTAGACGGAGTTTTCTTTTTCTAAAGTAAGAAGATTGACGTTGATAACTGGATGACTACTTAATTAATCATCGCTTCTTTTATCACGAAATGAAAATCATAATAAAGGATGAAAGTACATTTGGCATGAATTTGAACATCTAACGTATACCTTTCGGGAAAGAATTCTTTGGGGTTTACTAAAAGCTACGACAAATCTTAACCATAAAATGTATTGTCGTCGTGAGGTTAAATTTTAATAAAAATAAATTAAACACGTATTAATGGCCAAATTTAAAATTATATCACTGTTACAGATCTCTAGTTGTAAAACAACGGCAGAAAATCATATTCTTAAATTTATACTCTTGAGTTTAGGGATCTTCAGTGGAAGCAACTCATTTGAGTTGTTTCATGCATTAAAAAATGAAAAAAGTAGTTTCCAGTTTGCTATATCAGCATTAAGCAACTCAAACACAAATTTACTCTAATGATAAAAAACTTTAAGAAATTTAACTTTTAAATTTTTTTTTAATCATTTATGAACTATATTTAAATTTTTATTAAAAAAGATAATTACACTACAATGAAAGAAAATAAATTACGAAAAAAAATACATAATAATTATATATTAAAAATAAAATAAAGTAATAATAAATATATAAATATTATACAAAATTAATTTTCATCATTATTATTTCTGACGTTCTCAAATATGTTCAATAAGATCTGTTTGAAATCTAGTAAGAAACAGTTATTTGAGGAAGTAACTCTTTTTCTTCATCAAGTAACTCATGTTACCACGTCAGAATCCTCTAATAACAAAAAATCGAGACTTGAGTTATTTCATGGTACAAACAACTCCTATTAAAGTTGCTCTTAGCATCACCAATGTCCCAACATTATATTAGGCATTCATATAATTTACATCGCGTTGATAAAATCATAAACTATTAACATTTTAATACAACGTTATTAAAATTCTAAGGACAGACTATAATTCTATGTTTGATATCAGGTAGCGGGAAGCACTTTCCTAACAATCAACTCTTTTAAAATTTTATTAATTAAATTATAATGTTGTATAATTTTAAACATTTTATAAATTGTTTGAAATTTATATTTTAATTATTATCTAAATTTTAATAAGAATATTATGATGGTTCACACACACACAAAAATACATATGAAAGTGAATCAAAATTATTTTATTAATATTTATAAATAAGTATAAAATGCGCATTCAAACAATTATAAAAACAAACTACCATAACCCAAATACTTTCTCGAAGCAATCGCGACGAAATAATCCGTCACGGGAGAATCAAGAAAAAATGACGAATAGACATAGAGACTCTCCCCTCAAAAAAAAAAAGACATAGAGACTCAAATGTATATTTTCGTACACAACAAACAGGTCATTTTTTTAACAGTAAAAGTTATATATTATTATACTTTCCAATAATCTTATCAAAATATAGACATTTATGTATTTATTTATTATATAATCTTAATTATAAATTTTGTAAAAAACATCATAATAATCATTATATTTTTTTGAAGTCTTTTAAAATTTTGGAGACTTTCTAATACTAGAATAGTCTTAAAATATCAATTTAATATACTCTCTTAAATTGGATTCTCATTATTCCAGTGTTATCCTTGTTATTGAAAAAAAAATGATATATAATTAATAATTTAAAGGCTTATTAGATTTAGCACCGTTTGCGGGCCATGAAGATTTGAGGGAGACAAAACCCAAAACCCAAAACCCAATGATTGTAAGTCTACCCTACCTATCGTGCCTGCTCGCAGAGAGTAAAGTCCACGACTCCATCAAAAACCATGGTACCCCTTTCTCTCTTTCCTTCCACACATTCCAACCATTCCCATCAAAGAGTGCTCAACAATTTTATGTTTTTCTTAGCAACCCAAATCATTAATATTCCCAAAATCGCATCTTAGAAAAACACTCTCTGCAATCACTGACACGTATGCTGGCTATTAATTAGGTTTTCCCATGCGTTAAACATTCTTCACTTCCTTTTGCAGCACTGCACCTTTATGATCCCCTATGGGCATCCACACCGAATGCCCTGCACCTCCACTACCTCTACTGTTCATGAATCTCCATCATGCTCCTGCTTCTTCCCTTCTTCTACTTCTTATTCTCGCGCCACCGGTCACGGCACAGTTCCAGAACGCGCCGCCGCCGCCGCCGTTGGACCCTTTCACGAGGCTAAGGTTCGACAGGACCATGGCCGCTGTCTTGGTAGTCCTCGTCGTGGTTTTCTTCGCGTTGGGATTCGTGTCGATCTACACTCGCCAATGCGCCGAGCGGAGAGTCCGAGGGAGGCTCGACCTCGCCGTGGCCATCGCCGGCGGCATGGAGCGGCGCCAGCAACGCGGCCTCGACCCGGAGATCGTCGACACGTTCCCCACCTTCGTGTACTCCGAGGTAAAGGCCCTCAAGATCGGAAGGGCCACGCTGGAATGCGCCGTGTGCCTCAACGAGTTCCGCGACGACGAAACGCTGCGTTTGATCCCCAAGTGCTGCCACGTGTTCCACCCCGATTGTATCGACGCTTGGTTGGTGAATCACTCCACGTGCCCCGTGTGCCGCGCCAACCTCGCGCCCAAGCCCGAGGACGCGCCTCCTTCCGTCGCGATTCAGGTTCCAGATCCGGCCCAGCCCAATAGGCCCAACGCGGAATATGATCCGAATTCGATTAGCCCGGTCGAAGACGGTCAACCTGAACGTGAACGTGAACGTGAAGGGAACAGAATAGTTACACTTACAGAACCTCTCACTCCCTGTGGTAATAATTTAGCTGATTTGAATCGGCCGGTTCGGTCTCGTTCGACCGGCTTTGGGAGATTGTTTCCGCGTTCTCATTCAACGGGTCATTCGTTGGTTCGACCTGGGGAGGACTTCGACCGGTACACGCTGCGGTTGCCGGAGGAAGTACGGAACCGGCTCGTGAGTACGGCGGCGCTGAGCCGGACGAAGAGTTGCGGGGTGACGTGGCAGCGAGAGAGCAGTGGGAGGAGGGGTTACCGGACGAGGAGTGTTGGGAGGAATTACCTACAGTATGAGCGGTTCGGTGGGGAGGGCCGGTTGGACCGGTGGGGGTTCATGTGGACCCCACCATTTTGGGGTAGAACCGGTTCACTGAGGTCAACGAAGGACTTGGGAGAACGTTCTTCTGATCGTTTATTTTCCAAGGACTGAGGGATGACGTTGGATGTGGACGAAAATCACGTTGGGATTTTTTATTATCGTTTTATACATACGAGGCTGAAGGCTCCATGTTCATATTCATCTCCATTTTGGATTTGGATCTATATCATTGTGTTTATTTGTTGAAAATAGGGGCATATATTTTTTTGGGGGGAATACTTCCCCGAAGAAAAAAAAAACAATGTAATATTCACTCATACGATAAAATACTTAAATTTCGTGTTAACATTATATAAGTGTTTTTTTTTTAAAGAAAAATAATGTTTCAGTTGTTGTTCTTAGTCATGTAATTTCATTAGTTTTATGTAAAATTGTTTATAATATTTTAAAAAATTGTAAAATTAAAATTAGCGACGAAAAATTGTTAAACAAAATTTTACAGTTGTTTAATGTCATAAGAGTACTTCAATCCTTGACATTATTACATTCATTATATATGTTTTCAAAAAGCCACAAAAAGTTATTTATTTTAATTGATAAAAAAATTATGATTATAATAATTAAGATAATTATGATAACTGATAAGTATATATTCTAACTAAATATGTTCATGAATCTCAAATGGAAAATGTTAAATTTTTTATATTTAATTTATTATTTTAAAATTAACATTCATAAGAAGCATTATTTATTAAGAATGTTTGTTAAATAAATTTCTCGCAAATTGTTCAAATAAGGGAGATAAGAATATAATAATCTTAAGTAAAAAATGGGAGTATCATTGCAATGAAAATATCACATTACAATTATTTTATGAGGTAAAAATCTTCATTTCAAAGTGACATATTTAAATCTTTATTTTATGTTAGTTTAATAATTTGTTGTATATATAAATATAATTTTTTATATTAATATTGATAATACAAAATGTTGTAAGTTTTTTTTTTTTTTTTTAATTTTTTAATTTTTAGGGTAACTATTTTTGATATTGTATTCTTTTTAATAATTATTTGATTGTTGAGTGGGGATTAATTTATGTCGGGTCATGATTGTAAGGTGGTAAATGTTACGTTGCTAGACATTAAGCCACTAACTGATCATAAGTTTAATCAATTTTTTAAAAATGTTTTTTTAAATATTTTTTTTGGAAAATTGGTAAATGTTACGCTGCTTGACATTTCATCCACTAATAGATCATAAGTTTAATCATTTTTTTAAAATGTTCTTGAAATAATTTTTAAAATATAAGTAGTTGGTTGATAATTTGGCATTTTTAATTTCTAGGCTATTATGCGAAGTTTGAGTATGATTATTTTTTAAGAGTATTTTTACTTAAAATATAAATTTTTTTCTTATAATATAAATAGTATATTTAATATTAAAAAACAAAGTTTTACCTTTTTAACATGGAAAATTATTTGAATAATTAAAATTATATAAAAATATTAAAGAATTTATTTTATTTTAATAAATAATTGTGTATTTTTGTCAATTTCTTGAAATAATTTTTAAAATATAATTATTTGTCTTATAATTTGGTATTTTTAATTTTTGGGTTATTATACATAGTCCGACTGTTCTTTTAATTTTAGAATCTTTCATTTAAAATAAAATATTAGTTTCTTATAATAAAAATATTTTAAATCTAAAATAATCATAACGATTTTATTATAATAGAATAATCGGTGAGAATATTTAATCCATATATATATATAATACTTTTTAAAATATGATATAAATATTTTATAACAATATGTAATGGTCCACTTTTGTACTGTTGTTCGATTTGATTAGAGCTACGATGAAAAAGGGACCAGTTTTAATATTATTATAAATACATTACTAAATTAGATTATAGTTTGGATAACACATAAAACTACTAGGATTAGTTTATTGATCGGGTGGGGAGGGATTAAGGTAGTTAGAAGTATGAGAACTTAAGTTCAATCTTTATTATGATTATTTTTGTAATCTTTCCTATTTTTATTAAAATTTTTTTTTTGAATAACACGTGTCATTTAAGCATAAGTTCAAATAACATGTATCATTATATAACACGTGTAAAGAAAAAAAAAAGGTTAAAACCTTATTTTAGTCCCTTATAATTTTTTTTTGTTTCAGGTTGCAAAAATGAACAAAAACAAAGGTCCTCTAAAACGCCACAAAAGGGTGTTTTTAGGGAAAAATAAGGACAATCAAAAAACGAAAGAAATCCATGATGGTACCATGAACCGAATTCAAAAAGAAAGGTTCAAGGGAAGTTATCTAAGTTGTCAAATCACAACGTCAATAACAAGATTTGATTAACTTCATAAATGCTTAAACAAACAAGCCTAAACACAATAATCGAACCTTAATAACTTATTCGGAGGTCGAGTCCGAACCACATATCCGAGATCGAGTTCGAACCTCGATGAAACACGCACCACCCTAAATCTAAGGTCGAGTCCGAACCTCGACACTGTCGTTAAAAGTCGAGTACGAGCCGTATACCTAAGGTCGAGTTCGAACCGTGACGAAGCATACATGACCCTAAACTTAAGGGCGGATGCGAACCACCTATCCAATTCACTACACTCTGGTTTGAGGTCGGTTGAGAACCTCGGAGCTAACAAATCAAGGTCATCGAACCTTCACAGAAACGCTCACCCAAACAGAAGTCCGAGGTCGAGCCCAAACTTCCCTTAGCATATGAGGTCGAGTACGAACCACAGCATCCGGATCTGAGGTCGAATACGAACCTCGCCAAAAATTCATTTTATTCAAAACCGAGGTCGAGTATGAACCTCGATGTCCCCGCTTAAAAGTCGAGTTCGAACCTTAGCTAAATCATTTTGCTCAAACCTAAGATCAAACCCGAACCCCACCAAAGCCTAAGGTCGGATACGAACCTCGGCGCTTTCAAGGTCAAACCCGAACCTTAATAAAATCGGACAAATCCGAACCACAATAAAATCAGTTGCTCAAAATCGAAGTGTAAGGGCGAATACGAGCCTCGACACTCCCGATAAAGGTCGAGTCCGAACCTAACCAAATCGTCTAATTCAAATCCGAGGTCGAATACGAGCCTCAACACATTTACTTGAGGTTGAGTCCAAACCACTAACCTGAGGACGTTTTTGAACCCTGGCAAAGCACACCCCACTCTCAATACCAGGGTCGAATTCAAACCCCAGCACGACCGACTTAAGGTCGAATTCTGACCTTGACTCCAGTCTAGGGTCATTTATGAACTTTCACAACAATTACTTAGTCAAAATTCGAGGTCGAATACGAATCTTAACACATTCATTTACGGCCGAGTTCGAACTCCCACGAAAAATCCTACTAAACAAAAAACTAAGGCCGACCTCGAACCTCGACTTCACCAACTCAAGGTAGAAGTATCACCATATACAAAAGCATATAACAGACACCAAACATGTGCCTCAAACAGCGCGAACAGCCAAAATTGAACGCAAATACGGACAAGATAGAGCAAAATATATATATATA